CTTTTTATGTGTAAGGAGCTCATTTTTGGGGAGCTGAGGCCCATCTTGGTAGAAAAGTACAGGAGAGAAGGGGAAATTCTCTTTTCCAGGCCTCTGGAGCTTGGTGGAAAGGCTGGCACTGATTTTTGGAGAAATTCTCTTCTCCAGGCCTCTGGAGGCCCAATTTAATTTTAATTCCCCCAAGCTAAAAGATTCAGCTCTAAATCTTTGCAGGTTTAAAATGAGATTACTTTAATGAATATTCCTCTTTCTCACTCCTCCTTTTTGAGGGCAGAGGGACAAAGGGAGAAGGAGGTGTGGGGCTGGATATTCCAGAGCAGTTGGGTGCCAGGAATGGGTCCCTGCTCCTTTCAGTTATGTAAATTTTATATTGATAATCACTATAACATTTTTTCCAGGAAAATGGCAAAAGTTGTAATTTCCAAGTCTTCCTAACTTGAAATTTGGTTAAGGTGTTTCCCTGGCCACATTGAGGGCATAAAAAGAGGGATTCTCTTCATATATAACGATTTTGTGCACTGTTAGTGGGCAATACCAAGGTGAAAACCAAATTCAAAGCATGACCTCTGAATCTTTGCAGGTTTAAAATGGGATCACTCCCACTAATTTAATGAATATTCCTCACTCCTCTTTTTATAAGGCAGAGGGAGGTGTGGGGCTGGATGTTCCAGAGCAGTTGGGTGCCAGTTGGGTGGCAGAGTTGGGCCCTGCTCCTGCCCGAGGTGCCACAGCCACGTGGGCCATCGTCGTCCTTTCGGCTCAGCGCTGGCCGAGGTCACCCCGGTTCATCTGCTTTATACATTGGGAGCCTTCTCCTCATTACTTGCCAAACAAACCTTTTTATTTTTGCACACGTTTATGTTGATTTTGTGGTTTCTGAAATTGGATTCTGTCTCCTACGGGCCTGAGTTTCCACGGCAACCCCGGCCCTTATCTGCTGCTGCTGTTTGGCAGACAGACAACAAGGCCTTTCAGTTTACTTCTCCCATTTTTCCCTTAATATTATTTTCTTTAAAAACCCTTTTTTATTTTTTCCCCTTCTTCAGCGTGTTCTTGTTCTTTCTCTTTTTTTTTCCCCTCCCTTGCCCTTTTTATATTATTTTTACTTTCCCCAACCCCTGTCATTTAGAAATCACATAATTAATTGAGCACATCCTGTGCCACACGGGGCTGCCACGACTTTGAAGTCCCAATAGATCATTTTATGGAGCCGTGGGTACCATTTTTTCCGAGGCAGCACCAGGCGCCAGCTCGAGGCCTTGTGGAATTCAGCATATCCTACTCCAGGTATGATAAAGAAACCTTGGCACCTTCTGTTTGTTTTTACTAATTTCCTTTCCAAACTGCCTTTTCAATATAGAGGAAAGACCTCAGGACTTAAAGTTTGTTATTTTCTCTCCAAAGTTAGTCCCTGTTCCCCCCCGGCTCCCTCCCTCCCTTCCTTTAAACCAGACTGAACTGCTTCTCCTCTCTCCATGCTAAATTTGCTTTTTTTCCCCCTTTTTCTTTTCTTCAGGAAAGTGTGCTCTGATTTAGCATCATGGAGCGGGGAGCTGTTACTGATCCTGCAGCAGCAGCGAGGCAAAAGGACCCTGACAGGCTCTATTAACCCTTAAAAACAATAAATGATCTCATCAGCCCCTCCAAGACAGAAGAAGAAATAATAATGCAATCATTGACTTGGGTGAGGGAACAAGGCTTTGGGGGATTGATGCTGAAATCCATCCCCAAAGCCCCTGGTGCTGGAATTAACCAAGAGGGGCTGAGTTTCTTTAAGTTAAAAATCATTAAAAAAGGAGAATATGGATGCACAGACATAGCAAAGCTTATATTTATATATATTAACATATATAATATAAATCTATTTATATATTACTTAATATAAATGATTTATATTTGGATTCATATATTAATATAATATATAAATTTATCTATATATTAATTAATATAAATAAGTTGTGTGTGCTTATATGTTTATATATTATATAAATGTATTTATATACTAATTAATATAAGTTATTTACATTTGTATTTATATATTAATATATTATATAAATTTATCTGTATATTAATTAATATAAATACTCATTATTATATTAATATATTAATTATACAAAAATTTTAATATATATTAATTATATTTCTATATATTTATGTAGCTATTTATGTGAAGAACAGAGAGAAGACAGAAGCTGAATGGAAAAAATCTTAGAGTGAAAAATAATTGAGCTTGCACCACATTGCCTCCTGCATTTGGAACAAAGGGCTGCAAAACTCCCTAAAAACTCTTTAAATCTGAGAACCTGAGTCAGGAACTTCTGGAGATGCATTGAAAATTGTTAATTTTCATGTATTTTTAGCACTTTTTGAAAAGACAACCAGCATCACTCGGGGTGGTTTTCTAGAACTGTGCAGAATGATTATCTTCCCTCTGGAATGATGGGAATTCTGTCACTGGAAAGAAGAGAAATGTGATTTTTTGGTACAGATATTTCAGCCATCTCCTGACATCTGATGGGAAATCCCACTCCTGCCTGTGAATCCATAAAAGCTTTTCAAAATCCTGTAGGAAAAAAAATAAAATCATCTTATTCTCCATGAAATTCTGAACAGTTTAAAGATGATTTCTGGGCATATTTATGGTTCATTTTATAGAGCTTCTTTAATTTCATGGCTGCTTGGGGTCTTATTCAAAATCCCACGTTGGAAATGAAAAATTTCCATTGTTTCCGATGAAGCAGTGGAGAAACTTTCAGTGGGACTGAAAATGGGAATCAATTCATTCCAAAATCCCTGAGGTTCATTTTAAAAGTCTTGTGAGCAGAAATTGCTCTGTCTGTGGGGCAAACTCATTAAATTCCTTGTCTTGTGCCTTGTATTTTCATCCTGAGCTGGATAAACAGGCAGGAGAATCCTCATTTTATATTCAAATGCTCTCCAAAATGATGCCAGCAGGAAAAAGGGTGAATTGAACAGGGTTGGAATTAAAATTGGAGATCTCCAGTCATTCATAATCCTCTAAAAACTGCTTTATATAGTGAATATTTGATGATGCCATTAAATAAATTTTTATTTATATTTTTATATTTAGATATTTTTGTATTTGTCATTCTGTTTTAGACAGATATTTAGTGTAAGTTATTCCAGTTTTCTGCCTCTCTCCCTTTTTTCTCCCTTCCCTTCTGGAAAACTCACACCTTCACTAAAAGTGAGGAATACATTGAAATTTATGCTCTCTTAATTTGAATCCTGCTTACTAATTACTCTCCTAATTTGGATCCTTTGTAGGATGACAAAAATAATGATGGCTCTTCCTCTTGAGCTGCTTTTCCCTGGATTGGGAATGGATCCTGCAGCCACAGAGGGATTGCTCTGATTTTTGCAGGGCAGAAATGGAACCCAAACCAGCCCATCCTGTGTTTGTGCTTTCTCAGCACAGGGGATGTGACAGCTCTGGAACACCTGAAAGGGCTCTGGGTGCTGCAGGATCTTCTGTCCTCATGTAAGGGCTTCCACATCACAGCATCAGCCTGAAAAATAATCCTGAACCAAGAAATCGCAGTGAGGGAGGAGCAGAAGGAAGGAGGCCGCAAATGGTGCTCACAAATGGACAATTTCCAGCAGTGCAACCCTCCCAAATGTCCCAGCCTGGCCCTCCTGTTTCATTTCAGACTCTGAATTCAGAAACCCATCCATCTTTTCATCAGGTCATTTTTGCAGGCAAGTGAAAATAAAGGGCAGTGCCTTGGTGAAAGCTGTGTACAAGATAACCAAAGCAAAATGTGCTTTTATAAATGACTGTGTCATGCTGCCTGCTTTGGAAGGATATTTCGTGTGACTTATCCCAGATTTCTGCTTTTTCCCCTATTTTCTCCCTTTCCTTGGCTCTCCTCTTCTGGAAAACCTCACACATTCCCTAGAAATGGAGAATATCAGGAGTTTCATGCTCTCCTAATTTGAATCTACTTGCAGCAGGATGAGAACAATAATTCCAGGTTCTCTGAATGGTGGCTCAGCTTAGACCTGTGTTACCCTGATGCCTTTTCCTTGCTCTTAAAATTAAAAGCTAGACACAGTTAAGGGATAAAGGTTTTTTATTTCAGCATTTCAATGGTGTAATAATTTGTTAAGGTGGAGTATATAGAAATGTATATTTATGATGTGTTGCATATATAATTTTATAGACTTTGCAAATTAGCATATTTGACAAAGGGGTTTAAACGAGTAGTGTGACATCTCTTTATCTTAACGCATTTCTTAAAGATGGATTTATTTTTAATTTATAAGATATGCTCTAGAGCGGGCTTTGGTTTTTTAAGATATCTTTGGCTTTTAATTGTGAGGCTTTTAGGATATTTGGTTTTCTGGCTTAATAGAATATTAGTATTATGTAAAGATATTTGACTTAAAGAATGACAAGTATGTATGTTAAGGTATCTACATACCTTATTGTGAATAGTTAAAATGTATATAAAAAGATACAGATATATAAAAAGAATATATATATATATATATATTTTATATTTAATATAATTTATAATATCTACATATTATATAAAAATATATTATATGTATATAAAATGTATAAATATACAAATACAAATAAATAAATAAATATAAAGAAAAGGCAAAAAATCATCACGGCACCAACTCCTTTCAGTGCCTTTGCCTCATCCCATCCCCTTGTTTTTCTCCTCCCTGCATTTCCCAAGGCTGACCCATCCATCCATCCTTCCCTTTCCCTGTTTTCTGGAGCTGTGTAAAACAGCACCGTGAGTGATTTCCATCTGGCAGCTCTTGCCTCCAACCAGCCTGTGTCTCTACCCACAAATAACTCCCCAATAATTAAATTGTCCGGGTTTTGATCTTGCTCACAGGAGCAGAGCAATTTCCATTCCCTCCTGGATTAGCTTATCCTGCAAGGTTATGATTCAAGCCTTCCCCTTCTGCTCCGATATGGTTCTTCCAGACCTGGGGCCTGATAGGGCCCTGCACAGCACCAGGCCTCTGTTTTCTCTGTAAATACAGCCTACAAAATTTCAACAAGTCAGCCCTTGTGTGCCACACCGGGAGATTGATGACAAACCACATTATTTTTCCCCTCTATAGAGCTGCCCACAATTACAGCAGGGCTCTCTTCAAACACTGCTCTGTTTTTGTCCAGCAGGGAAAGGGCAGCGGCACGGGCTGGAGGCAACACTGAGCAGCATTATTGGGGCAAAATGCCCTTTTCTTCCCTCTTTTTTTCCCTCCAATCCATGATAAAATATTGGCATGATTCTGCCACGTGGGTTTGTGCAAAGCCATGAACCCACCAGCAAAGGTTATCTCAATACCAAGGGGAGGAAAGGAAGGGCTTGGAAAAAATTCCCCTGAGCTGCTCCTGGGGTGCTTAGGCTGTTCCCAAACCAGGGAAATTGTGAAATTGGGATTATTGGTTGTTCCTTTTCTTCCCTTTTTTTTTTCCTCCAATCCATGATAAAATATTGGCATGATTCTGCCACGTGGGTTTGTGCAAAGCCATGAACCCACCAGCAAAGGTTACCTCAATACCAAGGGGAGGAAAGGAAGGGCTTGGAAAAAATTCCCCTGAGATGCTCCCAAACCAGGGAAATTGGTGAAATTGGGATTATTGGTTGTTCCTTTTCTTCCCTCTTTTTTCCCTCCTATCCACGATAAAATATTGGCATGATTCTGTCACGTGGGTTTGTGCAAAACCATGAACCCACCAGCAAAGGTTACCTCAATACCAAGGGAAGGAAAGGAGGGGCTCAGACCTGGAAAAAATTCTCCTGGGATGCTGAGGCTGCTCCCAAATTGAGATTATTGGTGATTCCTGGAGATCAGGTTTGTACCATGCTGGGAGTTTAATCTAAAAATCCCTGGTTTTTTTTAGCCCTGTGTTTGATTATTGAGAGAATTAATAATTCAACTGAGAACGCCTCCACCATGCTGTAAAATGTCAGGAGTGAACAGGTTGCAGAGATAAATTTAAAATGTAATAAAAGGCTCCATCTCCTGAAAGAAGATGCCTGGAGAAGCAGAACCACACTGCTGTTGCCATCCCATCATCCCCAATATCCAGTTTTTTAAATAACATCCAGTTTTTTAAATCCCTGATTTTTGTCCTGCCATCCCTCCTGCATTTCGCTTGCATCACATAATAAAAATTCGGAAAACAGGGATTGCTGGGTGCTCTGATGATCTTTCCAGAAATCTGCTGATAACTGAATTCCCAGACTCCATGGAGAACTTGGGAGCACCTGAAGAGAGCAGGGCTCCCTTTCAAGTGCAAAAATAAAGCCCCGAGCATCCAACATCTGTCAGAATTCCCCAATTTGTCACGAGGCTGCTGCAGGCTCATCCATCATCCTGCCACGCCACGCTGGCAATGGTGCTGAAAAGATCCAAGTCATTGCCTCCAAAATGTTTGCTTTATCTCTGGGCACCTTCAAACCTTCCAGGGGAGCCCTGAAATCTCTGCTCTCCCCTGCTCATTGTTTATAAAATCTGTTTCATTTGGGTGGTTTGTGTATGAAATGAGGGTGGTTGAGGTTTTTTTTTTTCTTCCTGCAGGGGCGTTTCTGGTCAAAACATGGATGTGCAGCAGATTTCAGAGTGATAAAGAACCCTCTTGTGTTAAGTTGAAACTTTCATTATTTTCTGCTAATTCCATTTTTTGTTGGCTTTTTTTTTACTTATTTGCTTAGATCTCCAAATAAATGGTGACATTCCCAGAGGTACAGAATGTTCAGACCACTGTAGGTAGGAAATTAATGGCTTAAAATTCTTCAATTATGGCACCTGTATTACCAATATAGGTAAGAAATTAATGGCTTAATTCTTCAATTATGGCACCTGTATTACCAATATAGGTAAGAAATTAATGGCTTAATTCTTCAATTATGGCACCAAAATTTAGCCCAAAAAATGGAGTTTCCAATGAGACCAATTTAATCAATCTGATTTTTAGAGGCTAAAAATACAATTTCTACAGCTTTTCTTGTCTGTAAAAAGAATTTTATGTGCGTTTTTCTTGTTGGTAGCCCGAAGTTTCTCAATAATTTCTGTGAGACCGTTGTGCCTTCTAAAGATTATGTAGCTCTAGGAAAGATACACAAATTCCTGAAAAAAATATCCAAAATTCTTCTGGAATTGAAAATTGTCTCTGCTTTGGTTGTTTGAAGCTAAATCATTCTGAAAACTTAATTCTTCCCTGGAATTTCAGATAAAAAAATTCTGGAAAATTGTAACAATGCCTTGAGGTTTCAGCAAGAGACGAACCAGAATTCAAACAGAAACTTCCAAATTCTGTGTGATCTTCTCGGATATCAAAATAGATTGGAGAATAAAATGAAATGTGACTGGGATGCTGATATTCACCCCACAAATTTAAGGCAATTTTGATTCTAGGGAAGTGTTAAAAATCCAAGATTTGGTTCTAGGAGGAAAACAAATCATCAGCAACTCAGCTCAATGCAAATTGAATTTTTCACAGTTCCCTGGGCAGGGAATGGGAAGGGTTTTGAAGGAGTTTTGGCAGGGAAGGGGGATAAAGAGCATTGGGATGATGCCTCCAGTGGCTCCGAGAATCCCACCAGTTTTCCATGAGATTTCTGACACCTCTGTGGAAAATGTGAACAGTTTAATCCTGGGAGCAAGAGGGATCCAGGATGGAGCTGGCAGCACTGGAAACCCTCTGGAGAAAACTCAGAAATTGTAGCAAACACAACTAAATTTAATTTAGGGGTGTGGTTTTTTAATACTAATTTGAAATTAATTTTTCTTTTGTTGTTTGTTTTTTAACAAATGATCAGTTCAGAACATCCTGATCAATCTGTGAGCAGTCTTTGCAAGGAGGACGAGCTCAAGCTGTGGCTTTGCAGGGCACTGAGCTGGGATGGTGAGGGGAAAACCAGGGAAGAGCCATTTCTTACCCTTAAATTTAAAAAAAAGGGGAAAAAAATAAAGAAAAAAATAAGAAAGGCAGCAATAAAGCAAAAGGCTTTATTGGAGGATGGAGCTGGCAGCACTGGAAAAACTCAGAAATTGTGGCAAACACAAATAAATTTAATTTAGGGCTTTTTATTATTTAAATACTAATTTAATTTTTTTTTTGTTAATTTTTTAACAAATGATCAGTTCAGAACATCCTGATCAATCTGTGAGCAGCTTGGGAGCCTTTGCCAGGAGGACGAGCTCAAGCTGTGGCTTTGCCGGGCACTGAGCTGGGATGGTGAGGGGAAAACCAGGGAAGAGCCATTTCCTGCCCTTAAATTTAAAAAAAAAAGGGAAAAAAAGAATAAAAAAAAAATAAGAAAGGCAGCAATAAAGCAAAAGGCTTTATTGGAGGATGGAGCTGGCAGCACTGGAAACCCTCTGTAGAGAACTCAGAAATTGTGGCAAACACAAATAAATTTAATTTAGGGCTTTTTATTATTTAAATACTAATTTAATTTTTTTTTTTTAATTTTTTTAACAAATGATCAGTTCAGAACATCCTGATCAATCTGTGAGCAGTCTTTGCAAGGAGGACAAGCTCAAGCTGTGGCTTTGCAGGGCACTGAGCTGGGATGGTGAGGGGAAAACCAGGGAAGAGCCATTTCTTGCCCTTAAATTAAAAAAAAAAAAAAGAAAAAAAAAAAAAAAAAAAAAAAAAAAAAAAGAGAGGCAGCAATAAAGCAAAAGGCACTTCCTGAAGGTGGCCATTAAATCATTCAACACTCAGCTCCCCCAGGAGCAGAGGGTTCCTCTTTCCTTTCCAGGAGGGGTTTACAGGAGCCATTCCTCATCCCCTGCCCGCTGTCTTCTCCCTGGGCATTGTCCCAGAGCCCATCCAGGGCAGCCCCACGGCATTCCCTGGGATGGCCTCGGGCCCATCCATCACTTCCCAAAAAGTTTCCAATGGCTCCCCAAAGAGGAGGGCCGAGGGCTCTGCTTTGCTCGTGATAATGTGTTAATGCTCCAAGACCCCCCCATAAATCTCCTCCCTGCATCATCATTTGTCAAAGTCACAACACGGGGCTGGAAACAGCAAAAAAATCCCCAATTCAACCTAAAAAAAAAAAAAAAAAAAAACAGGATGAGATAGAAAACATGGCTTTGTTTTTTTCGTCCCTCCCATGTGATTTTTCCCCTCCTCTCCCCCTTCTCCTTTTCTCTTAATCTCTAAACCATCTGATTGTAGAGAAATGGTAAATAAAGGGTTTGATTTCTTTGGTTTTTTGTGTGAGTGCACACGTGCGTGGTTTGCTGGACACTTAAAAATGGGAGCTGAATTTGTTGGAGGAGCCTTTGCCACCTCTGCCCAGGAAATGTTCTTTGGGACAGGGTTGGTGGCCCTGGCGCTGCTCCCCAGTTCAGTCATCGTTTGGGCTGATCAAATGAGATGGAAAAACACGATGGTATCAAGAGCCCTGATGGCTGAGGGAATTTGTTTTTAATCATCTCT